TAAATTAAAATTTGCCATTGAAATTAGTTTTCGAATGGAAAACCAATTTTAAAAATGTTATTTCAATTTAAAATAAATCGAATGGAAATATAGCAATGTTTAGCATGGATTGGAAACAAAGCCAAATATGTTCAACACATTTTTGCATAGATATTTAGCTAAAGCGTTTAGCTGACGCAGGAAATTCTGCGGTTTGCAGGCAATAACGTTACCCTTTTCGCACCTGCCGTTGATTACATACGCGGTGATCCCTGTTAACCCCGCCAACGTCCTTCGAGCAGAACCGATTATGGCCAAACCACACGTGCCCAGCCGTTTTCGAGCTGAGTCGGCTAATGGACATTTAGAAAAACGGCCATGGGTGGGGTCCAATGAGTGCGACTGACTGCCGAGCATTTGCATTAAATGTTAATGGCAAAATTCAATTATTTTCGCACATGCAAGGCACTTGGCGACCCGGGAACAGGGCATTCAACACGGGACACACGAGACACACGGGGCACGGGGCTCGAGGCACACGCGTTGCGCATGTTTGTTGACAATTAATGCCCGGTTTTTCTTGCTCCCGTTGCAGTTGCAGTTGCAGTTGCAGTAGCAGTTGCAGTCGCAGCTGAAGCTGAAACAGGGCGGTGTCTGGTCTAAAAATGCCCGGTGCGGTACGAACCCAATTTCGCATTAATTTCCGCATAGCTCGGACAGGAGAGGCACACGAAACCGAATGCGATCGCAGGGGAAAAGATAAAGCCCACCGAAACTATAAACTCAGCTCCACTCGCCCGAGTGGCCAGCGGGAAATTCTTGCACGGCAGTCGGCAGTCGGCAGTCGGATGACCCCTTGCGCCATAACTTAAATGAACGCATCCGCTGTGGCATGAACAGCGCTCCCCTGGTTGACAGCACAAAAAGTATTCCAATCATGCATTTGCCCTCCGATGCACTGAACTCTCCTCCTCCGGCTGCTCTGGCTGCTCTCGCCGCTCTGGCTGCCTTTTCATCATCATCGCCATAGTCGCCATCGCCGCCGCTACCCAACTGGATTATTACTATGGGCGAAGTCGCGGTTTGTCCGGGTGGCACTTTGATGTTGTTTTAGTGGCTTCCACTCCTCCCTGCCGCCGGCAGAGGTTATTATCCCCTGATTAACCGCAATTGCCGCTGCATCTTCTCCTCTTTTTCTTGTTCGCTTGCCTCACTAAACTTGTTGCAATGTCTTGTGTCGACTGCTTTTACACAGCCTCGCTGACTCCACAAAATCGCAGCTCGTTCGGTTTCCAATCGGTTTAATTATTCAGTTTGAAGATCCCAAATAATCAGCCAATAATTTCTTACAGCGGTAAATAAATATGTTTAATCGAAAAAATAATATAAAAGCCATATAAAAGTAATATAGTTTCTTTAGTTTTGTTGATAGTTTGTACTCTCTTTTTGCTAATTCCAGCAGATTAGATACCAAAAATCTTTTTATTATAAGCTTCCCGCCTTCTCTGGAAGTAAATTCTTAAGCTCCCACAGTCAAAATGCAGATTAGATTGGCGACAAAACGTTCAGCATGATTTCGATTCAGCAAAAAAACCTCGCCTCGCATTAAAGTTAAAAGGACAGTAGTGCTGAAAAAACGCTCCTTTTCGCGAATCCAATTCCAAGCCATCTCACTTTTAATCAAATAACATTTCGAGTACTCTCCAAAGCCACAAAAGCTCGGAAAGTAGTCACCCAGTACGATTTTTTGCGAGGCAGCGGAGTGGCAGCAATAAAAGAGCAAACGCGACGCATAATTCCAGTGTCAACCCAAGTGGCAAGTATTGATTTTTAGTTCGCTTTTTATTCGGCGAAACTCGAAATCCACTCGCCGCGCAATGCACAAACATTCCCGGCCATTTGGGGAGAAGTGAGCTACGGAGCTGCAGGAGCACTGCAGAGTGACTACTGTACAGTGGCCCAAAACAGCGACGAACTATGCGATGGCTATGGGATGGCAGCGCGCGCCATTTGCATTCTTGGCACCATCGGCGCGAGAAGAAGGAGAAATGTTGGCAACACTCGGGGCCTTTCATCCGCCTTTCCCCGACCTGTAGTTTTGTGTGTTTTTGGCATGTTTCATTGGCAGGCGCGCTTAAAATATGCTGAAAAAGTCGCGCAGCAGGTGGACGGGTTGAGGGGTACGGGATGCGGGGAGCGGATTGGATTGGTTTGCAGAGGAGCCGAGTTAAGTGAGTTACTACACACCCAGTTTTCAATTGCTTCGGCACGGCAATTGTGGCCGTTGTGTTTATTGTTCGCTCGCCTGATAAAGTATACCGCACCACCCACCTCGAATAATGGGAACAGGAAGCCAAGTTAGAACGGGAGCAGAGTTGTCAAACTACTGCAATGGCGTGCTAACGTCGGTGCAATCCTTTCCCTCACTTTCCCTTACCCCGGTTCCCCTGTTCCCCATTTCCCCATTTCGATTTGACGCAGTAAACTCGCCTCGAATTTATTTCAGACTCAACTCGGAGCTAGCTGAGCTGGAGCCCCAAACTGTTTAGTGGCTTCCACGGCGGTCTGAAGGTTAGAATTGGTCGGACATGCTCTGTCTGAATGTCTGAATGCTCATCGAGCTGTGTCTGTGCCGACCTTTTTCTATAGAATGATTTGTTTCGGATTTTTCATCCTTTTCTTTTCATTTTTGGCAAATACATCAGCGGGATGTTGTTGGGCTCGCTGGGCATAAAATTTATCTACTGCTTGCTTTATTTATAGGAAAAAAGCTGATTGTTTTCGCAAAGCTAAACGATTATTAGTTGAGGATTCGAATAGAAGGTGGGAGAACCGAAATTCAATATATGTCACAAAAGGGGTGAAATTGGTAAAGGTCTGGCAATAGGACCAAAATTGTAACAAAGAACAACAGACCATTTAAGTTATTGATTAAAATAAATTTAAGCCCGCAATGCACTAGAGTTCCTGAAATATTCAGGTATAACCATTTAAAAATAACTAAAATACATTGTAATCCATACAAATAATTGCGGTGTAAAATCAGAATGCAACGTTCAGTTTGTACCTTTCAGCATATCAATTACCAAGTATGGCACATCAATCAAGAGAATCTTTCGATCGGGTCAAATCACGTGGTATCGTCCCACGGCCCACACAGCAACACACTCAAGTTAATTATTTTCTCAAAACAATTAAAAGTTAGCTCACGAAAGTGTATTCCCCAACCAATTGGCAACAGAAAAAATCAGCTATAAAAACGACTCTCGTGTCCATAAATGTTTATTACTCATATGGCGATTTAAACAAATAAAAAATCAAAAAGAATTCTGAGGAGAAACCGGCTGCCGTCAGAGCAGCGAACAAAACAAACAATATATATTGATAATTTAGGCAAAGTCTGGCAATAATTGATAAAGGTGAATAAATCGACAACACGGCAATGACGTCACGGATTGCAGCAACCATTTATCAGCACATAGACGGCGAGTAAATAAATATAATAGGGTAAGATGGGGTAAAACCGCCGGTGGGTAAAACCGCCATTTGGATTTCAAATTCAAATGAAGCGCCGAAACGTTTAACCGTTGATAATGTAGATTCTGATTGATAATGCGCGGTTTTTGAAGTCGGTCGGAATACTGCAGCTTTATCGTGACAATTTCTATAGCGCCATTTTTGTTTCACTCGACGGCGCCAAAAAATTTTTTTTATAAAGATTGCTCAATCAAGTGTAAGTGAACGGCTTAAAAAAAAAGAGGTAAGTGTCCGCTTATAGTACGAACCTTGATACTGATGTACATGTATCAAGTTAGTCAATATTTCCAAAATTGTACAAACTAAGTGACCTCGAAAAAAAATTGGCGCGTGGGGTAAAAACGCCGCGAAAAGGTGGGGTAAAAACGCCACACAATTTGATAACGGAAAAACTCGTTTTAATCGAGAATGAATGTCTTTCAGCATCATGCCTCGCAATTACGCAAGAAAAAAATCAAAAATTGATGAAAATATATTTCAACGGGCAATCGAGGAAGTTCAGGAGGGCAGCAAGGTGGCAGTTGTTGCCGAAAAATATGGGATTCCCTGAGAGACTTTGCGAGACCGAGTCAACAAAGCGCACAACGCTTATTATGGCCATCATCCCCAGGTAAAGTGTCTAATATTCACAATTTTTGTCAATTGAAACAATATGTAATGTCATGATTTTGAATTCAATTCAATTTAAAAATAACAGCCTTTCTTTTTGAACAGATAATTGCAAACAGTTTTGTATAAAATGATTTTATCTATTAAATAAGAATATTTTAATTTTCAGTTTCAAACCTTTGTTAATGCGACATTTCTTCTTAGTTTAAAACTATTTTAACCACGTAATTCTTATTTTACAGATTTTTACTGACGACCAAGAGGCATCGCTTGAGAAATATCTCATAAAAGCATCAGCTATATTTCATGGTTTCTCTCGGACAGCAGTTCGACGACTTGCTTATGACTTCGCTTCAATTTCTTATTTTTACTTTTATATAATATATTCGTTGTAACATGAAATATCCATTTGAATTGAATAAAAATTTTTCTCAGAAGTTATTGACATTATTTGGGTACTTAACTACACTAAAACCAGAATGGCGTTTTTACCCCACTAGGTGGGGTAAAACCGCCGTTTTAAACTTTTCTTCTGAACGATCACAATTCTTTTAAAATAAAAGCTACATAAAAACTTTCAAAATGAATTATGTAGCCAAGGGATTAAACTTTCAGAAATATGATTTGGATCATTGATCATTTTATAAATGAAAGCTTGACATCGTCAAATATACATTTTTGGCGGTTTTACCCCATCTTACCCTATTCAACGTTGACTTTAGTAACTGTCTGGTTGTGAGGAGGACACCTGAACATATCTATTAATAATTTTCAGTATGAATAACTGAAGTGCGAATGACGCGCATATTTTTGTACTTGTAAATTGCTTGGACAAGATATAGAGCGGGAAATGAACAATCATAATGCATATTTACATGGAAAATTCCGATGATTCAAATGGCTGATTTCCTCGGCGCTTATTGCGCTTTGTTTGCACTTCGCAGCTTCTAGGAGAATCTTTCTGTTTTTTCTGTAGTTTGATTATTTTTTTTTTTGTTTTGCACTATCGACACACACTCACAGATACAATTGATAAGACGTCACCTTATCAGTTCAATTTTCAGCTCTTTGGTTTCGGCCAACTTAATCTTTGCACATGGTCAGCGTAAAAAGCGAACACACATAAATAAACCGAAAAGTATTTATAAATATTTTTATTTTGTTATTGCCACAAAGCTTTTGGGATTTTCTATCACCAAAAATAATCCAAGCTGTGCGCTAAAATTTCTTTTATGTTTCACTTTCTGTATTTTTGTTTCATACAATTTTTGGCACTCGAAAAGCGGGAAGAATGCGAACGAATACGCGAAAAGGAATTTCAATTCAGTTTCAGTTTGAAAAGCGGCGCACTCCGACGATTCCGCATCCGTCACCTCAACATATTGTGTGGGTTCTCCGACTCAGACTGAGCGATAGTATCGCCCGATGCCGGGAGAGACCCGAGTGGCGCACAGCTGATTGCTGGACTGCTCCCAACAAGTGGCTTTAAGAGAGCGAAAAACTACGAGAGCGGTTCTCACAGATACAAAAGTATCTATCGAGTACAAAAGTATGTTTTAGACACGGCACAGAGAGCACTATAAGTTACTTATTCTGTTAAGAGCAGGCGTTCTCTTGACTGATAGCTGTTGACGTTTTCAGTAAACGGTCGTTACTTTTTAAATTTCCAGCGTGAACTGTGTCTGGATAAAGGGTTTTTAAACAGAGCAGTATTTATGCTCATTTGGAATTTGATTTCAGACCTCTGAAAACATTTTTATATATGTATGTACATACATACACTCTAAAATTTAAAAAATCCTAGCTAATAGCCATCTCTCTTTTATTACTTATAGTTTAAAAATGTCATCTATATTTACGATTTATTTATTTTTATAATCAGTAATGAAATAAAACGAAATATTTTAGTACATATACATGTTTAACAGTTGTTCCAGCACATACTAATGCAGCCATAACTGTGTCGCAAGAGTTAAAATGGGGCAATGGCATGGGAGGAAGTCATTATCATTTAGCCTGCTCCTGATTTAGCATAAACACATGAAATTGAAACACGTGAGAGCTAAGTGAAGCCATTTGCATGCAGACGCCATAAACTGCACTGGTTGCTCCTTCCCCCAATCTCCGTTCTCCATCCAACATTCCCCGTGCCATTCCCATCCGTGTTTTGTTTGCTGACTTCGATTAGTTTTCCTAGCCATTGTTTGGAGCTGGTGGAGAATGAAAGGAAGGGAAGGAAAAGAAAAGAGGAGCGCGGAGTAATGGACAGTGCAATGGTCATTGTTGCCACCCGTTCCCTGACCCTTCCCATACCGTTTCGTCTCGTCTCGTCCTGTTCGTTCATAACCTCAAAGCAGACATCATAAATCACAGAACAAATTTGCACTTCAAGTGCGCTTTCAATAAGTTTGCCTCTTTGGACATTGTTGTGCAACTTTGTGGAAAGTTTTTGTTATGTTGTTGTCATAAATCATAATTTAAAGCTTGGCTAGAGCTGAGAATGGAAAACATTTCAAACAACTTAATGAGACAAAAGCAAGAACCTAAACTTTTCTATTAGCATTTTAAAAAAGCAGAGCCCCAAGAAAAAGAGCACTTCAATAAGAGAAACTCAAAAAGAAAGAGAGTGTCACTGGCGCGACATTTGTGGATCGGATGACTAAACATCCGCGCAATCTTATAATGCAAACAACAATAAACAGCAGCAAATAATGATGGGCAAGAAGGAGAAGCAAGCTCAAATAAAATGGCGAAAGTTCAACGGAACATTCTGATTGTGTGTCTTCTCTCAAACTTGTATATTTGAGAAAAAACAACAGTTTATCAACGCTCGAGCCCAGCTGGCCATCACAAGAAAGCGTGATTAGCGAGAGACCCGCCAGGCTTATCTGCTTCGCGAAATAAACAGATGGGTTAAAAAAGCAAAAAAAAAAAATCATATAGCATCCATTACTTTAAAATCGCAATTGGCGGTCGTCTATGAGTCCCCTTAATCGGATAACAGCTACTACGTCAGCCATAATTCATCCATATCAGTAGAAATACTAAATTATTTAGGGGTGCATGCCGGATGGATAATTGTCGAGATACGTATAAAGAATTCGGGGAATTTCGAAGGAAAGGGAGAGATAATTTCAAAAGAATGCCAGATAAGTTAAGCACGATAACTAATAAGATATCTTGATATCGTTTAAATTTTTTGGTTTCATATTAATAAAACGAAATTTAAATATAAAGGGTAAACAAATTTAAAATTTTATAACCTCTTTTTATTAGTTTTATTAATTAATTTTAAAAAGTATGTGAATCTAAATCAAACGATCTTAATATCTTTACTGTAATATTTTACATATTTATTATGAACGTGAATTTGTATTTAACAGATATTTTGTGATGTATAGTACATCGCCTGTCGAATGCAAAGTATATTGCAGGGTTTAAAGTATACTTTCGGGCTGAACCATTCGCACCAGAATTGTACAAGGAACTGTGCTGTCAATTTGGCTATCTTTCTAGCTATAGTTTAAAGGACATGAACTTCTTAGATACTTTTGGTGCGAAATACATTAATATATATTTTAAATGAACTGTAGTTTACTTGTCGGTTGCGAAGTCTATATGGTACTGAAGTTTAATTTTTGCCAGAAGGTATACATATTTTTATTTAAGGATATTGCCAGTTATTTTAAAACTTGTTTAATGAAAAATTCAAGCTAGAAATGGGTACGTACTTTTTGTTTTATTTTTGAATCAATATATGTTTCTTTGCCAAGAAGTAATAGCTCTCCTTTTTACAAATACTCTCACATCTTATACCGCCCAAAAAAGGATTTCTATAGGCAAGCCCTGTCAGCTCTTCCGAAATTTATTGCCGCCGCAAACAAAGCAAATTCAACTGCACAACACCCAAAAACTTGACCCAACTTAACCCGAAAGCTGAACTCAGCTAATTGCCGAAAAATTGAAACTAAAACCCGACACCAGAAGCCAGGAGCAAATAAATGGAAAGAGATTTGGTAATTTATGCACTGCGGTAAAGGGCACAGAAGTCCAGGTAAAGCAGGGAAAAGCTGATAATAAAAAGGGAAGGACCGAGGTGTCAATTGCCCTGCCAGGTAGAAATAATGAAGCGGGATAAGTGGCAACCAAATGCAGGCCAAATTATGCGTAATAAGCCGCGGTGGAAATTTTGCGGAGGCAGCGAAATTTAGTGGAAAATACAGCGGTATGGAAAACGAAATATTGTGGAGAAAAATACATACATAGGTATTGTACGTACAGAGGATTATAGGACTTATGCTGACGTACACACTTTAAGTGGAAATATTCTTCTCAAAATAGTATAGTAGACCTATTTAAAATCTTATCAAGTCAAAATAGCGTGCGTTCTTAATCAAATTCCTAACCTTCTCAACCACTTAAAGAATGCTTTATTATTTCCATTCACAAATTCATTTCTTGCCTGATAATCCACTCAAGGCGAGATATGGCTAGTATCGATTAAACCACGTACGCGGTAAGACACTCACCTTAGGTTTAGTTTTGTTCAAAATCTTACGATATAGGAATTTGTACATATCACTAGCGTAACAACGATAAACACTTAGGTATATCAAACAATAAATAACAATTGGTTGGCTTTTGATCACGTTTTCTTGCCGCACACACACACAAAACCAGAAACCAAGAAATTAACCATTTAACGATCACAGCACTCGAAAACCTCTCGAAAACGCTCAGCGTGTGTTGGCGGGACTGACAAACGATCGAGGAACGAAGGTTTCCTACTCCCGCGAAACGTCATTGATGACTAAGAGGCAGTCGCGTAGAATTACCAGCGATATGAGTTATGAGAGGGAAATCTCGAATAATCTGCATGTGCTCGGAGCACAGGAGCGAATCGCAGAGAAGGCCGTTGTTTATACAAGACATACAATGGTTGTCCTCTTTCATAAACAAGTTTTTGCTTTCCTTGTTAGGTTTTTTGACGGAAATGAAATGACTAAAAACCATATGAAATTTTTAAATATAAATATTAATACATAATACAAAATGAAAAAGCAAATTTTATGATATTTTTTATTAATGTAAACCCTACTCGTTAAAAGCCAAATTCTATTTTCTATTAAAAAAAAAAAACAAACAAGCAAAAGGCGTTTCATTATGTACATAACTGTATTGACAAGCACCTCGTGCTTCTAGATTCCCCTCCTGGTACCAAATTTTGTTTTTACAGCTACTTTTTCTCATGCTATGAATTCAAAAGGCTCCCACGTTGGTTTTTCTCCTTTATTTTTGGCAAGCCGAAACCCAAACAAAAAAAATAGCGAGCGGCGATAAAACAAATGTCAACCAAAAAGTTCAAAGATGAGCTGCGCAGCAACAGTAACATAAACAACGTAAGATGGGCACACTCCGCGGTAACGGAACTTTTTTATTACACTGTTCATTAAGCATACTTTTATATGATTTTTGTCCGATCAGCTCGGAATCCAAATGAGGATATATCAAGCGACAATGGAAGAAAAGAAGACGCGCCAAAAGTCATCAAAGCAATCAAATAAATTTACAACAATAAACGCGCTTCAACCAAATTGGTCAAAGCGAAATGTGAGCAAACTAATTAGCCTGAAGAACAACGGCACAGCACAACAGAGTCGAAGCAGAGGAGCCCTCGACGAAGAAGCCTACATACTAACTATACAGGTGCGCAGAGGTGAGCGCCTGACATTTGCTAAGAAAAGGTTAAGGCCTCCAGAACGAATCGGATGAATCAGCAGACTATGAAAATCGCAAGTGCAGAGATTATATTTACATATATTCAGGGAATACTTTTTGAAAATTTAATGTTTTTGTTCAACCGAAGTAAATTAACTAGGAAGTACACCAATTTGCAATGCAATTCAACTAATAAACTGCGCCCTTTAAGCACTAATAAATATTTTTACTGAACTTAGTTTAGGTAATTTCGTTGGTGTGTTGAAATGTTAACATATAATTTTTGTTTCAAAATATTTCTCTAAATTTCTTAATAGCAATAAAAGTAGTCCAAGGGTGCAAATAACGTTCTGTAAAATATTTCAAGAAATTTATAACTGTTTAGGGTGAAGTAATATTTTTTTATACGAAAACCAACTATACATGATTGGGTTGAAGAAACATTTCAAATACAACAGTACATATTAATATATGTATATTTAAACAAAAAACACTTTTAAGCATCCCTATTTCCAAAACATTATTTAGCCTAACATAATGTATCTATGTATGTTTGCTAAAACTTTTCGTTCTTGTTCTTTCCTTTTAATTAAAATTTGGTTTAAAAGTAACCAATTTGATTCCGATAGTTAGATGGTCTTTTGACGCTTAACCTTTTTTTGAGTGAAATCGATTTTTAGTTCCATTTAGCTTATTATTACTTTAAATTTCATTATTTTCTGCTAATTTTAATTATTTAATTTACGATCGAAACTACGTTCACAAAAAAGTAATAACATGTCTCACAATGCGATTAATTTGTAAATATGTAGTAGGAACGCTTAAATTCGATAACTTAATTTCTGCATATATTAAACTTTTAAAAGACAGTTTGAGTTATCGAGCATCGACTGTATCTTTTGTCTGTATTTCCACGCACCGCTGTCCGGTGGTCACTCACCTGTATTTCGAGTAAAAGTTCCTGCTTCTTACGGCGCAGCTCAATCAGCAGTTTCTGCTGCTCCGGCGTTAGTTCTGCAAAACGAGAGACGTAACGAAAATAATTGAACTAATTCTTTTGTGGATTTTTATTTGGTTAATTGGAACGCAGCTACAGCAACAACAATGGCAACGACGACGGCATTCCAGGCACACGCATGTAAACACACCCACACACATACACATATCTGCATTCGCTGCACGCGCCAGAGCGAGACGGCAGCTGTTTGTGACGTAGCCAGAAGCTTGGCCTAATCAATAAACAATTTACGTTTGTTAGCGCTTCTTCGCCTTTCGCTGCCCAAACACAATGGGTGGCTAATAGCGCAAATTGACTTATTAGCGTTAATTCGGCACTGCGGATTAAATTCGATTGAAGGCCAGCAAATGAGAACACACACACACTGCGCACCTATACACATACACATACAGACGTTGCTTGTTGCTTCGCCTAAACTTTTGTTTTTTGTGAGACTCGCCCACTTCTGTATATAATGCATTCGCTGTACATAGAGTGATTTAACTGAGGATTGTCCAAAGGTGATGCTGATGTTTACCTGGCATCGAGAATTCACTGCGCCCCTTTGAAATGGCTCCGTAAGATCTGTTGTCGAAATTGTCCATTGCGCTGATCATCGTGGCGCCAGCGAATACACACACACACTCGCGGACACGGCACGCAGTCTAGTTGTACATTATTCGCCAACAGCTGGCTAATTTCCGGAGATTTTCATTGAACAATCTAAACAATAAAAATAAACAAATCAACACCAAAAAATTCTATCGCCATTTTCTTTCAGCTCTCCACCAGTGTGACCGCCCAAAACTCTTAGAAAAATACCGTTGGCTCACAAAGAAAATACTATCTTACCAATTTAATTTCCTAAAAATACCAATTTATTTCTCCGTTTTTCAAATTCAATTAATTATGATAACAAAAACATATGGGGTTTGTTTACAAATGGATCATTAATTTTTGTAGTTTTTAGATTTAAGAAACAATTTTTATTTCAACCCAAAACATTAAATTTAAATTACTTGCAAATCGGTCGGTCCATATTGCGCGTAAAATAAGAAAACATGTCTCAACTAAAACAATTGTCAAAAATATACCAAAAACGCTATCGATGTTTGCGCAAAAAATGGCAAAATCATTCAATTCCATCGATAACGTCTTGGGCGGCTAATATCTCGGCGGTGCACCACTATGGACTTAATAGTGATGCACTATTACCCTTCAGATAGTATTGGAATACCCATAATGAGAATTGAGTGTAGACGAAATAAAGGTGAGTGATACAAAATTAATAAACCTACTTAGCCAATCAGAAAATACCATCAGTATATTACCTATAACACTGCTATTTGACTAATGTAAACTGGTATAACACTGGAAAATCAGAAAAATGGAGAAGGCATTGTGCTCTTATTGTACCTGTCTGCCCTTTCGTGTACGAGCCTAAAAAATCCCACGCACTGGCAACTCTGCCAACATATGTTTAAGAACACGGATTATTAAATTCCAAAAATACTTAAAGCCAAGAACATTCAAAGCCATACAATTGTTAAAATTGACAGAAATAACAGTGTTTTAACAACATTTTCTTTCAGAAAACTGTCAAAACAGACGATACACTCAGTAGGTTTCTGCAACGGCGAAAAATCGCCAGGTGGCAACGCTGGCAACATATGTGCGCACTGGCATCGATAATTTTTTACATCCCTATTTTGAACCGCAGAATTCTAGAAAATTCCACTCCCAAGCAAACGTGAATTGAGGGAATTAGCTACAGCAAACTCTGCCGGATAAGAATTGAACCCACATCGCTTAACCCTTCACTCAATCGCATCAGTTAGTCTAAAACCAAAATGGCCAAGTGGGGAGAAGGAGATCCGCGCTGGATTGTGGAGGAGCGTCCCGACGCCACCAATGTGAACAACTGGCACTGGACGGAAAAGAACGCCACGCCGTGGTCCAAGGACCGCCTCCACCAGCTTTTCCAGGACTTCAAAATAGGCAAGTGCCGTAAGGAAACATGTCTGGGCCATCCTAACCTAAAAGTTTCTCCTCAAAACCGCAGGGCACAGCGACATCGAGTGCGCCGTGGACTCCGTGGACAAGTGCACCGGCGAAGCCACCGTCAACAACCGCAAGGGCAAGCTCATCTTCTTCTACGAGTGGGAGCTCGTGCTCAAATGGTCCGGCAAGCTGCTGAAAAACAGCAAGCTCAGCCACAAGGGCAAGCTGACCATTCCCAATCTGTCCGAGGAGAACGACCTTGCCGACGTGGAGATCACGGTGACCATCGACGAGTCCAACGACGAGTCGGAGACCCTCAAGCAGTTCATGTACAACGTAGGCCGCGACCGCGTCCGCCAGCAGCTGGGCGCCTACATTCGTGAGCTGAAGGAGGAGTACTCCAAGAACCTGATCCTACCAAAGAAGGGAGACGAGGGCGCTGCCAACCCCGTGCCGAGCGCCAAGGACGCCAACAATGCCAGGAACGCCGCCCAGAAGGCCGCCTCGAACACCTCGGTGGCGGCGCCCAAGGCCAACAACTCGGCCGTCGGCTGCAAGCTGGACGTGCGCACCCTTTCGATGACCGAAGAATTCCACTGCAGCGCCAATGACCTGTACAACGCCCTCACAAAGCCGGATATGGTTTCGGCCTTCACGCGGGCCCCCGCCAAAGTCGATGCCGTGCGAGGTGGCGAGTAAGTTTCCCATCCTGTTGTTGCACTTGCTAGCAAGTTTAGCAATATCGCTACTTAGTGGGTTGGTTAAGCTGGACACTTGAATCATTCCTTATTACGGTCAATATATCAAATTTTCTAGCCTTTGACTAGTAATAGTAATGCAGTGCATATTCTCTATTCGAGAAACACGAATTTTTCTCGTTTTCACTATCAAGTTGTTGTTTAAACTATATTAAAGTTTATACCACATTTTATTCATCATATGTAACACAATAATTATTTGCTAGCTATTTTTTTATTGCTTAAAATCAGTAATAATACACAAGTACTTGATATTTTAAAGCCAACCCTTTTAAGAACAAGAAGTGTTCTTCTTACTATCAATATTTTTTTATCTACATTAAGATTAAGATAAATTTTACCCAATAACATTTTAAAAGATCAATTTTTACATCATATGTATGACACTACTCTATTTGTTTTTATTTTAGATTCGTTCTTTACGGAGGCAATGTACTGGGAAAATTCGAGGAGCTCGTGCCTGAGAAGAAGATCCAGCAGAGCTGGCGTCTGAAAAACTGGTCATCTGGTCACTTCTCGAACGTTGTCATAGAGCTGGAGGAAACTGTAAGTAAACCGGAGAACGAAAATCAGATATTGTTTGGGTGCGCATATTAACTATTGCTGTATGCCATAAGAGCTACTCTTCAAAGTGTCAAATGTTAATCCAATATATAGGTGATCAGTGAATAATAAATAACCTTTATCCTTGCAGTCATCCAGCACAATGATGTCGCTCAAGCAGACCGGGATTCCTGCCTCCGAGTACGATGCGATGAAGACAAACTGGTACAGGTACTACTGGCACAGCATCAAACAAACCTTTGGATTCGGTACCTCTATATCCGATGCTTTATAAGAAAAAGCTTATAGTGCGTAAGGCACTGGATTAAGTGGGAAATTGGTGGCCGGCGGATCATTAAACGATTTCCATTGGTATTCTACCTATTGTGCTGCGAGAACTTCATTTCCACCCTTAGCTGTAATTTCTGTTAACCTTTGAAGGCTCTTTCAAAACCTCTTTTGTAATGTTCGATAACGATCGAACTGAACAGTCACCGACTCGTTTACAACAGCTACAGTAGAACCACATTACATACACGAAAACAAATACGATTCACGCTTCCGACATTGATTTCACACATTGAGAAAATAAACGATAAATTAGAAAAAGATTTTTTTGTAATTTTGGATTGTACATTGCTAATAAATTTGTTATAAATAATGGAGATAAAATTCCAATAAACCTTGGGAGAATAAATAAAAAAAGTAAAACAACAAACAAGTATTAAAATAAATGTATAGATCTTTTAATTATTTGAATGGTGAAAACTATGTAATATTGATTTATTATAAAGTAATCCGCAGGGCCGTGCATTTGGCTAAAAATTGTTAAAATGTATTCTTTTATGGAAACAAAAAAATTTTATCAGACCTTACGATTTTTGTACCAAGCCTATTCAAGCAAAACAAAGAAAACTTGATACAATAATTGGCGAGTAAATTAATGAGGTAAAATGATGAAGAAGTGCACTACCCGTAACTCTTAAAGCAAAAGGGAATATTTGTTGAAAAGTATATAACATATCAGTATCAGCATCAGAATATAACATATCAAATTTAGCGTCTTAATTTTAGTCCATTTGAAAAGTACACCTTAAAAAAAACTTAGTTTCCAGTTTTTGTTTTAAACAATTATTTGTAACATTAAAATAGCAATACCAAAAAAAAAAAAATGATGAATAGTGGATGAAGCCACATTTTGCTCCAATACTTTGCACATTCTGACTGAAAATGAAAGGTATAATTTTTCCAAACACATAATTTTTTATCAGGATTATTAGACAGGCCGGTCTATCGGTATATTGATCGTAGAAACTTTAAGAGCTTGAATATCGGGATTGGGTTGTACTCCAAATCAAACAATTCTGTTGCACCCACAAGTTTGATGGTACATTATATGTATTTATACACTATTATGAAGTAATCATGTCATTTCAAGTGAAAAATTTGCTACACCCACTAAAAAGTTCCCAACTAGCGAAACTAAATAGCCTTCACAATATTAACGTCAACACATAATAATTTTTTAAGTATTATAGCCATAAAGAAATTGTTTGAACAATTTGCCAGGAGTAACGGTTAACAGTAAACAGTTTTCCTACTATATTTGTTGTGTGCATTGCGAGATCGCAAGAAGTTTCAAATTCTTCATTAAAATTTATAACCTCAACAAGTACTATCGCTAAATTATCTACAAAAATAATATTTTCAAAAAGCATACCTCTTAGTCCGCTTTGTGAGTTTCCAAGTGCTTCTGGTACTCCTTGAAGCTGTTGCTCTTGAAGATCTCCGTGTCTGTCTGGTCGGAGGAGCACCTCCCGCACTCGTAGATGAACTTGCCGGGGTGCTTGCCCGTCTTGAGGATGTGCTTGCGCAGGTTGTCGATGGTGCTGCACTGGAAGTCGCAGTGGGGGCACTGGTGGGGCTTCTGGCCCGAGTGGTGCAGCGAGTGCCGCCGGAGATGGCCCTTGGAGCGGGCTCTGAACTCGCACTGATCGCAGGGGAACCACTCCGGATCACCTCCCTCCCCAGAGTGGGCCGACTTGAGGTGCCTGCGGAAAAAGCAAGAGGAGAACAGAGAGAAGCTTGAGCGAAGCCATATTTAAAATCTCAACGCTTGATTAGGAGGTAAATTCCAGTGGCGGCTGTCCCGCCACCGCAGTCAGAACTAATTGCTAATTTCGCATTCGAATCGCACGCTCGAAATCAAAATACGAGTAAGTTGGCAATTGCCAATTGCCTTTCGGCCAGCGGGAGGAGGAGAAAGAGCTGGCTTAGCCAATCCGGGCTTGGCTTAGATGGCGATCAGTTTTTGGGTAAAGAGTGGCAAACCAATATTGGGTAATCGGGCGGTCCGGTCTGCACGAATATTCGGTGAGCTTCTTTTAAGAGGGAACTTGGAGGTTTCGGATTTTTTTATTTGCAAGCTTGGTCTTCAATTAATCGCCATAAAAACACAAAATTTATGAAATTTGTTGAAATGTGGAGTACACAGACTTAGTACCTTTTTGCATTATGGTAAAACTAAGATGATGGGAATTAAGCATACTAGCGCATTTCGGAATTGTTTTTGCCTCATTAAAGTTGCTGTGTTAATTTTTGCAAGTCATTAAAAGATACAGGATGGGTTTTTTTTTAATTGGGCTATGACAATTCTAGTAAATAAAATTTTACGACGTTGTTGTATTTTTATTTAGACAACTCAGGGTAACAATTTGCACTTCCAACCTTATCAACAACACAGAATAATATAATATGTTGGTCCGTTATAACTCAGCCTATTCATAAAGATTTATAGTGTTATAAAATTTCAATAAACACCCAGTAAATGTAAGTTACCAACCAGAAGGATGTATTGAAGGACCACGAAATCTTAAGTATAAATTGGTTTGTTAAGTTATAGTACAGCAAAGAAAAATATTATTAATAATTAATATAGAAAACATTTTAAATTGAACTCTTTGAAACCGATATGCTGCTCCAAGAAGAGAGAGGCAACTAACTCACACGATTTCAGTTACGCGCCTTCAATTATGCCCAATGCTCCTGGAGCTGTTCCCCCAAAAGCGGACTGGAGGAGTCTCCTCTCGAATGTGTGTGTGTGTGTGTTGTCCACTCCACTTATCAGCTACTGTCCAAACCGAAGACTCACAATTAATTGCCAATGTTTTTGTGAGCTCTGAGCTCGGGCCGCCGGAATCGGAATCTGTGTGAAATCTCAAGCTTCGCCTGCATACAGTGAGCTGAAAACTGAAGGCTGAAGCCCGGGAAGCAGGAGAATCAGACGGACGCGACTCATGCGCGACTCGGTAGGCTTAATTAGCGGCGAGTAATGGAGCTTCAAGATCGTCCCGCCGGTTGTAGGAGGCTTCCACCCCCATGCCCCATGCTCCATGCTCCATGCCTCATGCCCACTGCCATCCCCGCCCCTCGGCATATCTCTGTGTGTCGAATGCCGACAAACTGGTGGATCGCAACTCGCGATTCGCGAATCGAGGCCGCGACTTCCAAGCAACGCCTTTTTGGCTGCGCTTCGAAATTCCTGGATCAGCAGCGCTGCCTTTTGATAGCTAATTGAAGATCTCGGATGTGAGTTAAGCGCATCACAACAGTTCGGATGTCTGGGCAAGATTTATTCATGCAAGCCCTGATTTTCGGCTGAGGTCATCCTTGTTTTAATGAGGCGAGGGCCTTTGTTTTCCTCTTGATTTAAGTTTGAGTTTGGTGGGTGAATTACTTCTTGATCGAGACAGTTAGTGACAAACGCGTGTTGCAAAGTCTACAGTAAAGAATTAGAACTACTTGAGCAAACCTTTAAAAACATATAAATATGAAGCCTTCGTTACTAAAATCAGGTTTGCATAACCTACAACCTATATTTATTTTTCTGAAGAGGACAGTCAGACAGTCTGTAAAATTAAGTATATATCGGCTAGCCTGAGATTGTGATATCCTTTGCAAAAATCATAAGAAAACTTTTTGCAACTGTTATTTTTTAATACACACGAATGTCAAGTTAAGTCCATTTTTACGTATGGCTTATCTTTGGCTTTGTTACTTGTTGTTTGACATAAGCAATTAAATAAATTATTTTCTGATATCTTAATCATTTTGAATATAAAATACTTTTACCACTGATTGTTTCCTTGATTTGTTTGTACTAAGCAGGCAACTGAAGTATTTATAATTAAACATAGTGCTCTCCCAAGTTGCAGTACACTCAATAAATGTGCAAACTTTGTTCAGGTACAGGCTATCCTACTCCACCCAAGAAGACAGAGATCCCCGAGCCAAAGGTTAAGGTGATCTGGGGTATTAACCATTATCCATCCACTGCCCCCACATTCAAATAAGCAACTCGCAGGGCAGCCAACCAGCCAACCAACGGCGCAGTACAAAAGAAGCCAAATGTCGTCCCCATCAAAGCGATCTGGGAATCGACGACGACGATCCTCCTCGTCCACTTACAACTGAGTCCGCAACTCCGTTCGTTTGGATTCCCCCTTCTGGTCTTCTGATCTCTTGGGGCGGACAGCTGCACAGTGGCTGGCCAACGGTGGCACTACCATATTGCCGGCAATTTGGCCCTGAACTGATCGTCCGCATCCTCGCGGGGTGGATCCCAGGGGGGAGGGGGAGGGGCCAGTGGAAATATTACAAGAATTCAATGCGCATATCAAAGGCGATCGATAAGTCACGATTCTGTGGGGATCGAGCGGCGACTCTGGCGACTGTCCTCCTCCAACTTATCCCCTAGTCCCCGATCCCCTGCGAAGTGGTTCTCCGCTGCTGTTGTTTTCATCAATTTATGCAATTGCCGTTCAAAGTCTGCAATTATGGATGACATTTCTGCTCTTGTTGCTCCTTTTATCCTCCATTTCTTTTTCTCTTGCGAGGAATTCAAATTCGTGGGGAAAATGTCGCTCGTTTATTTTGTTACCTGCAATTGTCTTGGCCTCGTCTTTTTCCGTTTGTTTTCTTTCTTTTGAGTCCTGATTAGCATTTTGCAGATTAGTAATAGAACGACAAAATTGGCAGGCACCTGGGAGACCTTGCAATCGAGGAATGCATTCAGTATGCATAAGGGAAATAATGGATTGCAAAGTAATTAGCGAAAAAATATTTGGAGGGAAAAGCATAAACAAACAAGTTTAATAACAGAAATAATAACAGAAATTATCAGTTAGTGAGAAAGTCTTGGTCCCCAAAAAAAAGAAACATAAAGAGAAACTTTTTTCTTTGGCATTCAAATATTTTAAAATATACCAATAATGTTCGTTATTTTTTGATGAGGTGAGGCAATTTAAAATGAACCTTTGTATAAGAACACCAACTACGTTTTAAAGTACCAATAATTCGTTTACTTTTTAGTTTTGACCTGCCATACCATTTTTATGCTTATTCCTATACATAAAAAACATTTTATCAAATGATGCGATTAATTCGATTAATTTTCGATTTCTCAATGCGACCTTGTACTAATAAATTCTTCTCACTCACCTCCTCAGGTGCAGTTCGCTCTTTCCTACATAGCTGCAGTTGTCCCGCTCGCACTTGTGGGTTCCGTGGGCGTGGGAGATCAGATGAGTTTTAAGGCTTTCCGGGGTCAATCCTGCATACGAACACTCCGCAAAGTGGCAGCGGTGTCGTCGCTCCACTGCCTTCGAATGAGCGAGCTCGTGGAGTTTCAGGGAGTACCTGGAAAAGTTAGAAGGGAAATTTAAGTCTAAAGCACCTCGATATGGACCATGACCAAAAGTCTGTCACATGTTTAAAACCTCCCTCCGCCTTTTGTTGTTGGAATTGGAAATTTTTTAATTACATTAAATCAAGGCAAAAGTAATTCGCACCAAAGTCACGTTTCATGGACGGCAAAGACACGGGGCACGTTCACGTCGAAGTCCAAGTCCAAAGCCAAATCCAAAATTCCGCCAGACCAGTTCCTGGCCATGTCCACGTTTGTCCGGCCGCAGCTCAGTCAAAAGGACCCGCAAAATGCAAATGCAAACCCTCGTAGGCAAAACTTTTCTGCACATCAATTACGGATGCTAATTAATCGAAACAGCTGAGCGTTCCCCTCGTTTTTGGCCTGTTTCCCAGGGAGTTCTCGGTAACGGAGCAACATTGTGATTCCAATGAGCCAGCACAGAATTAGTTTTCAATGGAAGTGGCCCTGCCTTTAATTTAGTCGGTAAATAGCTTCGTGTGTTTTTAAAAATATTGATTTGCCTTAATGACTCTTAAACTATGGCTTAAGGGAGGGTTGCCGCGTAAAGAAATTTATTTTATCATTTATTTTTACTTTTTGTTCCCACTACCGTATTGGGAAAACCAATTTGTTGCGTACTTCATAACTTAGGTGGAATTTCATGTAAAAACATGAAAAACCATATCAATTATTAAGCGCTCTCCTAAAAAAGCCAATTTCATGATATTAAACCCCCTAATGTAAAAATAATTTTTATTTAAATGGTTAGAAGAATGCTTTCCAAAAGGCATTAAAAGGTAAAACAACAAGAAATAGAGAAAAAATTTGGAATATAAAAACCCTCACCTATTTTTCTAATCGCAGATATTTAAAACATGAATATAAAAGCATTTCTAAATTTGGGATAGTTAAGATGTGATTTTATTTATCTTTTCAGATATTACTATGTAGGTATCTTTGAAATACTTTGGACACACCCTTTTATTCCCACCCGTTATTCCCACATTGGCTCCGCTCATTTGGCATTCAAGAAGGAAAAGATTCTTCTTAATAACGCGCGACATTAACAAAGTTTCAATCTTTAATCTAAATTCGTGTGAGAGAGAACACCGAACAACGGATTCGGGGGAGAGTGGGCGGCATTAAGGGCTATGGGGCGTGGCCAGTCTGGTGAATGGGGGTAAGACAACATTGTCATGCATTTCTAATGATGCCATCGCAAGTTGAGCGGGGGAGGAAGGACCAGAGGGCTGGGAGGGAGGCGTCGTTGATATGTGAAATGTCACTTTGTATGGAGTTTGAATAGCAACGACAATGACAACGACGGCGACAAAACAGGATGACGTGAAGGGAAAGCTGGGAACTGGAAACTGGAGAAGGGCGGGTGGGATAAGAAGAGGCGGTGGGTGGGGGGAGGGAACTCCTTGAAGGTATTGCAGGACTTGACAAAAGGATGCCATTTTACCTGCAGGAGTTTGCCGTAAATTGTTCTTGTTTCTGTTGCTTCTGTTGCCAAGGATAATGGGGGGCAACAACAACGGAATCGGGACAACAGGAACACAAACATAATGCTGAAAGAAAGCAAAGCGAATTAGATGCAACAACAACAACTACAACAAAATACCAACAGCGAACAACAAAATTATCTTTCGCTCGGTTCGTTTTGCCAGCTCCCAGTTGTATTTTCACCTCCGACATTAACTTTTATTTCCTCAAATGCATTTTCCAGACCTCGTCTTCTCCGGCAAGTTCTTGAGTTTTCCCAGCTATAACCGTCTGTCTCGCTAATACGTTTGTCTCTGCATTCGGGAAGCAGAGGGAGGTATCTCCATGGGCCCAGACCAGGCAACATTACTTCCCAAATTGAATTGCAGCAGTCTCGGGCTAATTTGAGTCAGGTTATAGCTGCTGAAACAATTCTATTGTAATTCATATTTCAACGAAACCTCAGTAAAAAATAGAAAGCAAGATATTTTCTACCCCGCAGCAATACATACTGTTCTTTAATACATATTTAGTATATTGCAAAACATAAAACCACTCTAATTTAATTTTCTGAATGTTTTTGTGGAAAAATCTAGTAAGATTTCAAAAAATTTATTGCAATTGTGACAATTTTCAGGAAGGGTAAGTTATGGGTATCTCTGAATTGGGTAACTATTGTAAGTTTTTTTTACATTAAGCCTTAATTTTGGTTGTGGTTTAAAAATAGGTTTCTTTGTTCAAAAAATATTGCAAAATGATTACAGTAGAGATAAACGTAAGCATAACAAATCGTTTTGACTTAATATGAATAAGTTTTTATCCACCTTTCGGAATTTTTGAAATGCTCTACACTGACTGTCAGCAGTTTGGAAATGCGGAGATTAACCATATTTTTAAGTCAGTCACATAGCCAGTCTTAATTTGCAAAAGCTGTTCAAAGGCGAAACGCGCCGAGAATCCACATGAACGCCTTCAATTCGGGGATGTTGTGACAGGAAGGCGTATCCTGGCATATCCTGGCGTCTCCTGGCAGCAGCTCCATTGCCGATTAGTTGACGAAAACGCCTTGCGATGAAAACTTTGCCCTTCTCAACGCTCCTTTCCTTGGGCGGAGGATGAGCTGGGGGGATGGGACAGGGTTGAGCTGTCATCAACACCCCTCCGAGAGGAGAGGCGGCGGAGTGCAGCAGCTGCAGGCCAGGACGAAGCTGTTGGCTCTGTCCGGGTGTTGTGTCAACTTTTGCACGCCATCCATTAGAGGGATGCCCGTGCCCTCGACGGATGCTCCTCCCCGCGCCGCCACCGAAGCGCCGAGCAAACATGTCGCGGGTGCGGCAGGTGCAAAGCGTATCCTGCCGCTCATTGTCAGCTGCACGAGGATGCAGGATGCAGAAGGGGGCTAGTGGGTGGCTGGCTCAGCCCCTGAGAAGGACTCCTGTCTGTGGCTGTCTTAGACAATCGCATGTGTACTTTCGAGCAGCTGAATGTTTGCCCTGGTGCGCTCGCATTGTTGTTCCCCAAACTCGCATAAATATTTATGACAGCGTCTTTCTTGTCTTGTCTTGTCTTTTGGGCGCAAACTTCTGTGCCGCGGGGCGTTAGTCAAGTCCCCCTTCCCCCTCGCAGGCGACTTCCGGTGTCAGTCACCAGGATGTGGGCACACACAGTGCTGCCGGCTTGTCCTTTTCCAAGTGACCCAAGTGCCTTCGGAAAGCTGTGTTTTTAGGTTTTGGAATCGTTTCTTTTTACACACGATAGCTTTTGAACTGAGCTTGAAACCAGCAATAAAAGACGAAAAAAGACACAAGATTGTTCTGCGTTAAAAATGTTAATAGGTTCTTCACACAATTTGCAACTTTCATGTATACAGGTGGTAAAAGGAAATTAGATTAAATCTGACTAGGAACGTGTGCTACAAACAATTGCAAATGTGTAAAAATACCTTACAGTTGATAAAAAAATCTGTTTTAGCAAACTTATACTCGAAATAAGGTGTCACCCAAACCTCCTTCAATGAAATCTAATTGATAAAGTGTCCTTAACCAGTATGCTTCCTCTGATCGTGGAAAACGAAACAACAGTCCTGAAAGGTTGTAACAACCTTTGGGATATCCTTACATTAACCTATCGGAAATGATGTTAATTCCAACAGAAAATCTAGTTTTTTTTTATACACATCTGATGAACTTAAATAATTGTCCTTTAGTGTGTACAGTGGCGGATCTAGGGGGGGGCGAAAGGGGCAAGTGCCCCGGGCGCCAAATCTAAGGGGCGCAAAATCGTATTTGAATTACACTGTGTGTTTCGAAAAATCATGTTCATCTAACAAAATAATTATAACAAGAAGGAAGCTAGCTTCGGCAAGCCGAAGCTTATATACCCTTGCAGTCATCAAATATGCCGATAAAAATGCATAAAGGCTAAACATCATCGAAGCTATGACGATTTTTCTATAAATTTTCCAAATTTTCGACTATTGTTTAATTCGTATTTCAAGAAAAACGACGATGTTATAATTTAGTTTCCATAATTTCTACTTAGATTTTTCGATCTTTCCTATGGCAGCTATATAACAACGTTGTCAGATTTTAATGATTTTTTTTCTCAATTCAAGGGTTATTAAAAAAATCCTTATTTTGCTCGTGGGATTAAAACCAACGACGTTATAATTTTTTTCCATTATTTACATATATTTTTTTTTATCTATCTATATGATTATAGCACTTGGAAGTCAAAAAGACGATTTTTTGAGCTTAATTAAATTTTATTGTTCAACTTTTAAAGAGTGTTAGAAAAAATTATAAAAAAATATTTAGAAATAAGCCTGTGGTGGTTAATCTTCCGAAGCGCCCAAAGAAAAAGTTGTTTTGCGGTGAACATCATAGGGCGTTAACGGATCATCTTAAAAATAAAATGTGATATGCGTTGTAAAGATAATGAATTTCCCGAGGTAATCAGGAAGAGTTTTTTTTAAATTTATTTTTTGTCTATTTTTGGGAGCACGTGAAAGTGAAAAGTGCGATTTTAGCTTTAAAAATCGCTGTTAGTTTATTTTTTAAAAATAGTAAAAAATTAAAAATTAAAAAAAAATTTCCTGATTACCTGTATATTTATGTGGAGCCTTTGTGTTAAAAAATTGAAAAAGATCGGTTCGGTAGATTTTGAGTTCTAATGTTCACCGACTTTCAAAACAGCGTTTTCGGGAAAAACGATTCAAAGTATTTTTATACGTTAAAATACGTCCAAATTAGGTCGTTTAAAACGCTGTAACTCCGTTAGTTTGACTCTGACTAAAAATTTTTACACAATATTCTGAACATATTGGTCTTTAGAAAATAAAACTTAAAAAAAAAAATTAAAAAAAATTTTTCTTTAATTTTAAAACCTTTCTCTTAATAAACCTTCAAATACTCAAAATATTTTAAATGTTATTAATTTGAAAAACAATAATCTGTCACGTTCATTGGACAGAGGGGGTAGGGGGGCGCAAATTTTTCGCTTTGCC